ACAGACAGACAGACAGACAGACAGACAGACAGACAGACAGACAGACAGGCAGACAGACAGACAGACAGACAGGCAGGCAGGCAGCAGTTGTTTCTCTGAGGTCATTGCTGATGTCTTTCTGCCTGGGCGTTGTGTTAACACACACCTTTATGCTCAAGAGCAACAAACTGACAAAACTCCTGCTTCTGAAGAGTCGACCACACTGATGATCAGTTCATCAATACATCTGATYAACAACACTCACTTTCCATTTTGGCTTTGTTTTGGTTCAGTAATTAACACAGAGAAATCTGTTGTGTTTTTGTTTATTTAAGGCTAAATTTGAATAATTTCCGAACCTGATCAAAACCAGATAACTTTTTAAAACATGTTCTGATGCMCATAATCCTAGAATTAAGAGCATGGACTTTCTTGGTCCCAGGACTCTGRAGATGAAATAAAATGCTCGGAGCTAAAACAGGTGCTTCACATCAATCTGTGAGTAACGGCAGCGAGTTAGCTGTTATTAATGATCACCTTCTACTTACTGACACTTTCAATGAGCTGTCTGGTCAACAAGGAGTCACAGACACACATGCTAGAGTCATTATGGGGAGGTAATGTGTCTCTTCATGTCTGATGAAGGGCCTTTTCTGGTTGATGGGTTGGTTTTCCCGTACAAAAGCTGACTCAATTATTACAAAAAGTTGCTCAACGTYGAGACAAAAAAAGTTCAAATCAGTGTTTTAATGATTCATTAGCACAAACGTCTCACAGTCAATGAAATAAAAACAGCAGTAAACTAGAAGCACTCTGAGAGCGCAAACCTCCGCCAAGGTTGTATGTTTGTGTGWGTGTTTGTTTTGTATGTGATTTATTACATTATTAGTCATATGTGTGTTTGTGTGGAAGTGATTTACAATGACTAAACATGTAATAAATTACATGCAACAGAAAGAGTRGAACAGCATCAGAAAAAAGAAAACATTTGGTCATAAAAAAAACAGAAAAAACATAATTGTTTAAGAAAACCGTAGTGCAGGGGTTCTCAATCCTTTTGGAACTGGGGACCCTTTACAAAGGCGAAAAACTTCCAGGGATCCCCTCATAAACTCCAAGCTGTTAACGCAAAAATGATTTACTGTTATTTTAACACCTAAATGCCATGGTAATATTATTTTTTGTTTGGTTTGGTATGTTTGTTTTACTAGTGCATTATTCCCCATATGCATTTTTCAAAATAAAACACAAATTAACAATTTATTGACATTTTTTGAGGACCCCTAAGACATGGCTCGCAGACTCCTAGGGGTCCTGGGATCCCAGTTTGAGAACGTCTGATCTATTGGGAGAACAGACCTGAATGGGGGGGGGTGGTGAGTTAGCTAGCTTACCTTTCCGATACAAGTGGGGGAAAAAAAACTTCAAAAACGTAAACACAAAATCCAAAATTGTTAGGACGCGCAGGCCCATGTATTATGAAAATGATCTGTTGTTACATTAAAGTAACTTCAAACAGTAAGTTTATTGATTTAAAAACAATTCGGTCTCAAGTTTTATTTTCATGTGCCTTCGTGACTGGTYTTCTACACCAGTGATTCCCAACCAGAGGTACGTGTACTCCCAGTGGTACACGAGCATATTACAGGGGGTATGTGGAAAAATTTCTCAGGTGTGTGAAATTTTTTTTTATAAAAATAGGACTGAGAGATGTAGGGCCCTATGATTTTCTCAAAGCGAAATGCAGACAGACTCGCGGAACTGACTAAACAAAATAGAATCCAGTATAAGATGCAGAATCTCACAGAATTGACTAATTTGGGTGAGTTTCTGAGGTATTTTGGACGCTGCTGCTTCCTGTACCTGCTGTTACTTGGTCTATTCATTTAATTACTTAATCMTTTTCAAGGCAACATATTTATCTTTGTATTTAATTTGAGTTTAAAAGAATAAAATGCCTGAGAATTAAATGTTAAAGGGATTAAATAAATAATTTTCATTTAATAATCAATTGTCATACATTATAGTTTTGGAGAATCATCGTTACGTTTGACTGAGGGGGTACTAGGGGTGTGAAAAAATGGTTCGGGGGTACACAAGTCTAAAAAGGTTGGGAACCACTGTTCTACACCACTTCAGGCAATCCCATTGGATGTCTACAGTCGGGGGGTTGACCCATCTACGAATGATCCATTGTGACTGGAAGTGTACGGTCAGCTTCCTTGAAGCTGATTGGCTGTTCGTGGGTCCGGGTTGTGATCTGGATCATCACCAAAATTTAATGGTGCTTTTCTTTGGCCAATACTCACTTGTGGTGAAAATTTCATGAAAATCCGTCCATAGGTTTTTGAGTAATTTTGTCCACAGACAGACCGACAGACATATGTGACCGAAAACATTACCTCCTCCTTTGGCAGAGGTAATAAGCATTTTTTCCTCACCGACATGTGACTCTAAAAAGATGTGAACATCTCTGTCAGGATGAGGTCTGTGGCTTGAAATATTTCACAATTTAAAAGACAACTTGTCAAAAAAATCCAAGTCACAGATAAACAAGTTTAAAATAATTTAAGTTAATAACTGTGGCCAAATATTCCAGCAGCATTTGGTTTGTTTTGTCTCCATCAAAACTTCAAATATTCACAGAAAATTGTTTATTTAAAACCCTAAAAACGTGTTTGTTAAAGTCCGACCGAGAGCTTGGATGTTTTCAGTTTWCTGTTAATGAACAGTTTTGAGCACTAGAGGGGGCAGCACTGTTGCCTGATAGCAACAAGGTCACATGTTCGCTCCCTGGCCGAGGGCTGTTCTGGGTACAGTTTACATGTCCTCCCTGTGCAATATGGTGTCTCCAYACAGAGCAGAAACATGCATATTAGATTCCTCAGTGACTCTAAATTATCCCAATAAGTCTGAGTGATTATGTGATGTATCTGCAGCCTGTTATCACCTCGAGATTTATATTTTTTTATATTAAAATATCAGGAAAGGTTTATTTACACTGAACACAGCTTTGTTCTCACCTAAAACATTTGAATACGTCACAATCTTTAGTTTGACTCTTTATATTCTGAACTGGTCTGAAATCAAAAAGATCAACCTAAACCTAAAAAGAATTCAATATTTCCAACTTTAATGTATTTATTTGTTGCAGAGTTTGCATGTGAAATATAATTTATTCCATTTATTTGCTAACTTTAAACCTTGGGCTACGGGAGCTAAACTTTAATCCAACTGAAGGAGAAAAGTGAAATAAGTTGTTAAACTAACTTTTGGCTCGGTCTTGCAGGCGGTGGCAAYGGCATGGCCGGTGGTGGTCCGGTCTCCAGGTTTTGGCCCTCTGGGTGGTATTTCCTTCGAATGGGCTTCGGGGGCACCTGATTGTGAGAAGCACCGGAGGTGTCCTGAAACAGAACCACCAACACAAGTTAGCTCCTTCCAGCCAACGSACTCTCATGTCTGCTCTGAACGGCTTTCCAACCTGCTTTGAACTGTTTAAATCCTCAGTACTTGGACCAAACGTAGAACCTGGAGCCTGATCTTCAGGTTTCACAGTGCTCTCTTCCTGTAACACACACACACACACACACACACACACACACACTGGATGACATAAAAACCATTGGACAGATATGTTCCTGCTTGAGTGCTGCGTTGATGGGGGCAGCTATAAAGAAAGAGGGTGAAACAGATCTGCCCAGACAGAGGATAAATCAGCACCTCCCTACAGGAACAATGATGCAGGGCTCTCCAGAGACAACTTCCTGTCTGTTTGGGGGCAGCCATAATGTATGGCTTCACATTTACTACACCTATTTGCTGCGTTTTAGACATTTTTCTCTTCTAGACCAAAGGTCAGACGTATCCCTGTACTTTCCCTGAGCAGGGAGGTCACAAATGAAGACACATGGAAAGGCCTTTCCCTAATATACAGAAAACAGCCTCTCTCCYGCACTCCTCCCACACTCTTCTCTTACATTGACACTAATTTCACAGAGCTATCAGGTCCATTAGGACGAGTTACACGTCCTGATGGCCTAAACAGGCTCCTGATGTTAACTGTGCACAAGAAACCTCCAAATGCATTAAGCTGAGAGCACAGCCGACTCACAGATAAATAGTCCTAATATCTGCTGCAGTTAAACTAAACCGCAGCATGGAAAGATCGAAGGACGTATTGTAGCGGCTACAATAACTCCCAGGAGCCCCTGAGGCAGAGACATGTGGTCACATCAGCCGGTTCAAGTCTGGGTTTATAAGGACCTGAAACTGTCGCCACTTTCTGATAAACAGCTTTTTGTAACATTAAAAAGAAAAAAAAAMCATGGCTTAACAGCAAAAGTATCCATTTTTGTTCTTGTTTAGAGATGTGAAGAAATAAGCAAACTTTCTACTGTAAACTTTAAKAACAATTTGGGACTTTTTGTAATATTTTACATCAGACAAAATGTTGCTGTTTTGATGTATGAACTGTTGTGTAAAAAACTCACTTGTCAAAGTTGCTACTAGTGGTGCATTAGGGTCAGCATGGTAACAGCACTCTCTGACAGTACTTTAACAAAACAGGCAGAACTGCAGAGCAGAAACATACCATCATGTGCAGAARTGACTGTAAATAACAAACATGGTCAGAAGACGGCTACATGTTCATTTTTTTTGTCTGCAGCAGAGCTTCTGGATGTTGGGGTTGGGGCTCCACTGTGGGTCATGAAACATCCAGTATGTGGGCTTGAGATGATTTATAGAAATTAAATAATATTAAAATGATCACTGATAACTGATTTTGCCCAATTACACAGAGATGAAAACATGTCAAACAATAATGTCACAGCTGGTGACTTATTAACAATGCCCGCGAGGGGACATGGGGGGGGGGGATTTTTTTCTTCTTTTGCATTCCCTCGCAATACTTTAGTGTTACCTCGCAATACTTTTGCGTTACCTCGCAATACTTT